ACACACACACACACACACACACACACACACACACACACACACACACACACAGGGGGATTGTGTGTGCACATGAACTGAAATGTGTGTGGGCACAGGCAGACAGGATGTGGCTTTGAGTAGGACAAAGTAGCAAAACAAGCAGATTGATTCAGTGGAGAAAAGTCTTAACGGTCAGAGAGCAGCTCAGCCTGGACCAGAGTGGAGCTGGAGGGGTGCAGGTGGAGCACAGGGTGGGGCCTCCACCCTCTGCTGCTCAGCGGTCCATCATGCTGAGGATCATCTCTGGTGTGAGATCTCCATTAGCAGCAGTAGCTGCTGTTGTTTCCTGGTTCACAGTCAGCTCCACCTCCTCCACCCCCTCACCACCACCCACCCCTCCTTCCACTGTCAGGCCCGCTCCCTGCTTCACAGAAGGTGCTGCGTCGCCCCCCTCCTTTTTCACTATGATGTTCTCTACTGCGCCCGTCAGCTCGTCCTCCACCTGAATCGTGGCAGCTACTGAAAAACACACAGAGAATGAGTTTTAAGACATGTGGTCACACAGGCCAGTAGAAGCAGCATTTCCCCCAGAAAACCTGCTGAACCCAGTGGTAGGGCCAGTAATGTAAGCAAATAATAAGTTATTCTCACTGCGCAGCATCTAAGCCATGTCATGTGGAACTTTAATGCTCCACATGAGTGAATGGGGAAGTTTGTGTCTTGCGACGGAACAATAAGCGTGTCAAAATGCGTCAACACAACAAATTTAATGTGACATTTAAAAAACAAACACTTGGTGGAGTTTGGCTACTGACTTCTGCAGGCTGCAAAGTCTGAGATACATGTGATCGGTCTTTGTGATTAGCAACAAAAGATAGTGACAGTGATCGGAGATCACAATCATATACTTTTTCACAAAAATTAGTTAATTGTGATTGGTGGCCAATTATATGGCCCAGTCCTACTGTCTCCATGTTGCTGACATCATTCCCAGTTTTTACCATGGAGTCATTTCAGTGTGTGTTGCTCACCAGAAGAAGCAGCCCCGACTCTGCTGGGGGTCTGAGGTTTGGGGTTCTTGGGGGGTCGGCCTCGTTTTCTCTTCACTGGAGGCTCCTCTGGGGCCACAACTGGGATAACAGCAGGAGCCTGGTCTAGCTCCATGCCCTCCAGGTCCTCCTCCTCCTGCAGCAGTGCTGCTTCTTCTTCACCCTCATCCTCACCCTCGTCTTGTTCGGGGATGTCATCTTCTGAAGACACACAGGAATCAGAGGAGTGAACACAGCATCTTGCTGCTACTTACATGCAACTCTGAAAATGACTCACCGCTATCATCCTCATCCCTTCTGCTTCTCATCTTCCTCTTCCTTCCTCTCCTGCCTTTCTTTGGAGTGGCAGCTCCGTTCTCAAACTCCTCCACCTCCCCGCCACAGTTCTCAGAATGACGAGCCATGGTGTTCTACAGAAGAAGAGAACATGTGATCGGGATGTTCTTTATCTTCAGTCAGTCAGCAGGAGAGGATGAGGAGGAGCAGTCTCACCCTGCGGGTGAACGTCTTGCTACACTTGGGGCAAACAAAAGCTGTGGGAACAAAGTTGGGGTCGTGGTAGCGTTTGAAGTGCATGTCCAGCAGCTGCTTCTGCCTGAAGGTCTTTTCACACTGGCTGCACGCGAACGGCTTCTCTCCTGTGTGGGTCCGCCGGTGCATGACCATGTGGCGCTCCTGAAACCACAGCAGCAGTTACACATCACAGCTTTACAGGGAGCCGGCTGGCATTCAAAGGGGGTGTGGCCTACTCTGAGTCATCAGACTCACAACATGGAGTTCAAAGACTGACAAAACCATAAATACATAAAACATAACTAACTCTGACTAATAGAAGCAGTAGCTTCGATGTTTTTGGTCAAACATCGTAGGCATTGTTTGACCAAAGGGGGCAGCACTGAGTCAGTTTTAGACAAAATATTAAGGACCTACACAAATTTACACAAAAATGTCGAAATTCACATAGAAACATAAAGATAGAACCCAAGATTTAGACACTTAATCAACAAAAAAAAGTTGATTTGGGGGTTAGTTACACATAAAGTTATTAGTCCATAAAAAGTATTCTCCACGTAAGACTGTCTCATGACGGGGGTATGAGTTGGGTTACCTAATCTCTGGTTCTCCACATTTTACATTTTTTAAGCATCAAACTTACTTTTGAAGAATTATTTTAATTTGTGGGAGTTTGTGTAACAACATAGGCATCTTAGTAAATTCAGAACAGAAAATGCTACATTTAGACTGATTTACTGACAACTAAGTAATCATTAGCTGCAGCTCTAGAATGTAATAAGTACTGTTAAGAGAATTATTTGGACTAAGATTGCTAATAATTTAAGTTACAAAAATCTATGGACTTACATGTTCAGCAGGAAACAAAACTATACATGTAAGACAACACATTCTAACATACATGTAAAGGCTACAGCACACATGGAGCTAAACACCCCTGATTTAGGATCTTATTAAGGATTTTTGGTCTAAGAAACAGGAATGCTTCTAAAGGATGAGACTACATGTAGCAAGAAGTAAACATCTACAGTAAACTGAAACTAAATGAAAATAACATATAATGGCTTTGTTTTGCTCCAGCTTCCAACCTGGAAACAAGCCAGCAGCAGAACAGACCAACCTGACGGCAGCAGTAATCACACAGGTCGCACTTGAACCTTTTCTCATTCTTGTGGGACTTTTGATGCTGGATTAGAGCGTAGCGCTCATGGAAAACAGCATCACAATATCGACACTTCTTCCCGGTCTCAATAAACGAGTGCTGCTTCCGCAGATGAACCCCTGCATGCAGACAGACAGAGTGAGTGAGCCCAGGGAAGAGAAGCGGGTCTGGCTCCTTCACGCTGGCTGTTCTTACCCAGGTCACTCTTGCGTGCGATGACCGTGTCACAGTGTGGACAGTGGAACTTGGCCACGTTCTCTGTGTGTTTCTGCAGGATGTGCATCTTCATGGTTCCGCTCTGGGTGAATCGGGCGTGGCAGATGTAGCACTCATAAGGTTTTTCTCCTGACAACGAAAAGCAGCAGGTTCACTCCTGAGTACTGTCACCTAATGGAGCTCAGCACAGATCAAGTGCTGCATTTGGTTCACATAATAAACTAGGGAGGATTTTCTAACATTCTTCATTAGACTAAATATTTATTATTAGAAATAAAGACAGAAAACTATGTTGTACAAGGACAGCAACTAAAACCCCTTCCAGATGTTTCCTCCATCATCTTGATAGGTGAGTCAGATTTACCTGAGTGTGTCCTCATGTGTCTCTTCAGCTTGTATGTGTCTCTGCTGGCGTAGCTGCACAGACTGCACTGGAAGGGACGTTCCCCAGTATGGGAGCGAATGTGCCGCTTCAGTTTGCTCACCTAGAAAACATACACACATACACACAGTGTGTATTTGTTTCCCTCCCTATGCATGTCCAGTAGACAGCAGCTGGTCCTACCTCCACACTGGCGTAGTCACACATGGAGCATTTGAATGGCTTCTCATGTGTGTGTTTGTAGCGACGGTGACGCACCAGTTCTCCACTGGTCACAAAGGCCATGTCACAGTCTGTGCACTTGTGTGGTCGAGTCCCTGCATCAACATGCAGAGAACATGTGAGTGTTAAACCTCCACTCAGACATTATCATCACCTGTTGAGACGATGATTTATATTTACTGTCATAAATTTAAACAAAAACAGCCAACAGTCAAACAAATACTGTTAGAAAACGACGTCAATCAAAATGAAATACGAAAGAAAAAAAGAAAGCAAAACAAAATGGTCCCAGAAGAAGTTTTTGTGGTTGAGTGCATAAACATGACTAGCAGCTCCATCCTGCCCAGGTCTGAAACCACACATTCACTGCTGAAGTTAATCCAGAAGTTTGATCACTTGTTTCGGCAGGGGCAAGAAACATGTTGCTAATAGCAACGGGAGCTAAACCTGAAGGAAAATGTTTGTTTGGAAGAGAAGGACCACACAGCTTCCTGTTCCTGTCTGCTTTCAGTGTCACTAAATAAAACTAAAGCTGAATGTCAAAACTGAAATGCCCATCAACATGATTTCTGATAATTTCAACTTTATATCCTCTTGACTGTAATATCTTACTGCTACCACTAGGTAGCAGAAATAGGAAAAACTTTCTAATGCTAGCTATGGTTTAGCAAATAATTATTACTAACTGCTGTGTTTGAGTGTCTCCTGCTGTTAACATTTTACTTTTCTTTAACAGATAAAATATTCCTGGATCAGTTCTTTCTTTCTTTTTGTGTCTTTGCTCCATCTCCTCAAACTCCCAGTAGATGGTGGCAGATAGCTGCTGGTACTGAGCCAAGTTCTGGTTCTGTTCTGCTGCAGGTTTCTTCTGGTTAAAGGGGAACTTTTCCTCTCCACTGTCGCTACATGCTGGTCCAGGAGGAGAGAATGCTGTAAGGCAATGACTGGCTGCAACCTGCTGGGTTTCCTTAGACAGGAAACTTTTCAAACTAATTTGAATAATAAGCTGAACTTGATCTATAGTTTGATAACTAGGATTAGTTGGAATGGATGTATGATTAGACAGAAATTATATTTTTTGTAAAGTGCCTTAAGTTGAGCTGAATTCCCAGCTTGTTTTGCTTCTGTCTAGCCATCTCTAGTGGTTTTTTAAGGATTTTCTTACATGCTAAAAGCAGTTGTTAAGACTTAGCTTTAGTTGTTGCTTAACAATGAGCATTTAATAAACAGCAGCGAAATTTGTATGGTGACTGATGGCCAGTCCAGAGTGGACTCTTCCTATGTCTCAGTGTGGTCACTGTCTGATGCTGCTTCCATGGCAGCATCAAATGTTTTCTGTTCGAATATTAAAACACTTAAACACTGAGATATTAATCCAATTGATATTTTTTTAAAGAAGCAATGACTGCTTCCAGTGAAGAAGTGATAGCTGAGCCAGGTTGAGCTGGTGATGCTAGCAGCAGGCTGTGGAATGTGTGCTGGCTGGTGGAGCAGGGCGGGCTCAGGCAGGTGAAGCTTTGACTGGACCGCTTCATCCAACTATTGGACAGGCAAAAAAACAACAATAGTTAAATCCATTTCTGGAGTGTGTTTACAACCTGTGTGTGTGTTGAGATGATTTCTCAGCAGTGTCACTGTCCTGAAGGCCCTTCCACACAGGTGACATTTGTGGGGTCTCTCATCGGTGTGGCTTTTCATGTGCCGGTCCAGGTTGGAGCGACGAGGACATGTGTAGCTGCACAGCTCGCACTGGAAAGTCTTCTTCACCCCTAACACACACACACACACACACACACACACACACACACACACACACACACACACACACACACACACACACACACACACACACAGCTTTCAGGGACACCATCTTCCCAAAGCTTTCAGAAAATGCTGAGTTCAGCATCTGCAGCACAACTCTGAACAACAAGCTGTCTATTAGCTGTAAAGCACATTATAAACTGTTAACGTTTAAAAAAAATAACATTCTACTATGCGATATTTGAAAAAGAAGTCATGTTCCACTTCTAAAACAGCTGAAAGCTACTAGAGCTGTGCTGGAAGAGAACAATGGAAGGACATTAAAGGACCAGTCCTTTGACATCAGAAACAAAAATGAAAGAATGAGGAAACATTAGCTTTACTGTCAGGTACCTTTCTTCTTGATCTTTGTGGGCTTTGGAGGCTTCATGTTGCCGACTACTTTCTCTGCATTGACCTCAGACAGAAGGCCCTCCTGCTGCTCCTCTTCAAAGTCGTACACGCTGACGTCCATGTCCTTGTCTCCTTCAGCGTAGCGCAGGCGACTCTTCTTCCCCTGCACAGCAGCAGCTTTAGTTTAGGCACAGGGGGACTTTTTGGTCTTTTAGAATGGGAATGCTTTACCTTCTTGGCCTTTTTGACCCCCCCAGATGGAGGCTGATAGTCTGGGTCTTTAGCCCAGTTATGGTGATGGTTTGCAGGCTGGGCAGCCTCCTCTCCTTCCTCCAGGAGCTGCTGTCCCACCTCCGCATCCTCCTCGTCCTCCTCAGAGTGGGCTTCTACTCCTTCTTCTTGTTCCACAGTCTCCACCTCCCCATTAGCACCAACTTTGACCACCTAGAAAACATTGAACTAAGTAAAATTTTAACCATTTTATGCGAATATCCTAGACAATGATTATTTCCTTAAACTGACTGCTCAGGGCCTGACCAAAAGACCACTAGCTGACGTAGTCCCATAAGGCTAGTCTGGGGTTTAACAGATGCACCAATCAATCTGCAAGAGATTTGAATCAGTAAATGTTCTGATTAGCTGGCTCTGATTAGCAGAAATCATTTTGGTAACACTTCATTTCAAGGGTTGTGCATAGGACTGACATGAGATTGTCATATGTATGACTTAACTCTAGAGGTGTGCCGATCGATTGGCCACCGATCATAATCAGCTGATTTCCGTGAAAAGGTGTATGATTGTTGATCACTGTCTCTTGTTGCCGATCACCTGTATCTCATTTGCAGCCTGTGTGCAGCTGATCTCCTCTTTCCTTCACACTGCGCAAGCGCGGCAGTAATAAATCCTAAGCAATGTAGTGAGGAACTTTAATGCTCTGAGAGTTAATGGGGAAGTTTGCGTGTTGCGGTGCTTAAAGCTGCAGCACGTAACTTAAAAAAGGAAAAGATTTTAGATATGTACTAAAACTTTCGCCGTCCCAACACAAGACAGATAATCTCTGAAAAAATAATCGATCTCCTTTGCCTCCTCCTGTGTTCTGCAGAAGTACTCCACTCGGTCAGAAACAACCAATCAGAACCAGCATTAATCAGCTAGCCATGCTATCAGGAAGGATCGTTTATTGTGATGCAGCCTGCATTTGACTTTGAGTGAATGTTTCCTTTTTTACTTGACATTATTTGATATAGGCAGATTTATTTGACTCGTGTCATTTATGGTACTGAGAGCCTTACTATTAAATATTATTTTACTTACTGCAGGTTTTTCAGTTGTCCTTTTGACTGAATAGCTGCTGTATTGTACCTACAAGTATTTTGCATGTTTTATGCCTAAATTAGGTGAATTTATTGCCAGATCATTTTTTAATTTTGTCAGATGATATAGTAGCATTCATACCTAAAGCAAAAAATTAACAGTCAATGCAGGTGATCGGCAGAGATCAGCCTCATTGGTGATCGGTATCGGCAGCAAAAAACCTGATTGAAGCATCCCTACTTAACACCTGTTATGAATATGAAGGAGTCTTCATGAATGTTTAGGACTGTTCTCATGAAGTGTCATTTGGTAAATAATGACATAAAGTTGACACTTTTAAAGACTTTTAAGGCAAGTTTTAATGGAACTTTCCATTAAAAGTGTCATTATTTACCGAAAAGACTTCACGACAACAGTCGTAAACATTTATGAAGCCTGCTTCATGACAGGTGTTATGTCATGTTTATGACAGTGTCATGTCAGTCTTATGCACACCCGTTAAATAAAGTGTTACCATCATTTTTACTTAAAGTAAGTAAAATCCAAGAATTTCCACCATTTTCTGGCCATGAAAACATCAGCAGTCTGTACTTTGATACACTTCATGTGTTGTAAGAAGGACAGAGTGCATCATGGATAGATGGAGTCTGTCAATCCCTAGTGGGTGAGAAAAGGGCGGGGGGGAGGGGTCAACGGGCGAGAGGTCATCTTGGACAGGTCACCAGCCCATCACAGAGACAGACAGGACAAGCAACCATACACACACACACACACCTAAGGAGAATTTAGAGAGACCACTCAACCTAACAGTCATGTTTTGGACTGTGGGTGGAAGCCGAGAATCTGCAGAGAACCCACACATGAACAGGAAGAACATGCAAACTCCATGCAGAAAGACCCTGGGCCGGGAATCGAACCCAGGACCTTCTTTCTGCAAGAGTGCTAATCAAACTGCACCACTGTGCAGCCCTATGTTATATATAGAATATGTAAATTGTGGAGAGTATTATTAACTACTGTAGTTCCACATCGGTGCCTTTGTTGTGTGCATGCATGCGTGTGTGTGTGTGTGTGTGTGTGTGCGAGTGTACCTGAAAGCCCTCAGGCAGAGGAAGTGTGTGACAGATGACAGGGTCTCCAGTCTTCGACATTGCTGTGGTGTCCACAAATGCGCCTTGCTGCAGAGCGTCCACGGCAGCGGCAGAAACCGGCACCTGGACCAGCTGCAGCTCTCCCAGACCCAGAGCTGCCTGCTCCTCCATGTTGACCACCTGCAGCCCGGCATAAGACGAAGGGATATGAGTGTCCCCGGCCGACACCGGATGAACACTTTAGGAGAAAACAGAAGGTGAAGAGGCACCTGCAGGGTGATGATCTGAGTCTGGTCCACTGTTGCCACGGCAGCCTGATGAGCTGCTCCTGCAACCACGCCAACTGTTTCTGATGATTCCCCAACTGCAGCATCGATCACCTGAAAAATAAACACTTATATTGGGGTTTTCGTAGAAGCTTCTTTGATACTTCCAGTCTCACAATCAGATAAAATATATAACATGTCCTCTTGTCCTGCTGCTACCTCAGTCTTCATCTGCATCAGGGTGGGATCCAGGGAATCCATGACCATCATTTCTACTTCTCCACGTTGCACGCTCACCCCGACCCCAGCTTCCAGCAGCGCCTGCTGGGATTGGGCAGCTGCTACCATTCCTTCCACATGACCTGGAGACACCAGAGAGGCAGTCACTTCTAACATCAACCATGTTTAAACTCCTGGCCGAACCAAGGCAGAACAAGCCCAGACAGAACCTTGCTCCAGTACGACAGCTGCCGGTCCCTGCACCACACCCCCGGCCTCCGCCGCCTGCTGGAGGAGATCCACCACCAGGGCCTCCTGGCTGTGGACGACCTGGATGGATGGGAAGTCTTTAGGGGGGGCGTCCACCTCCCCCACAGCTTCTGCTGAGCTGCCGTCCATGACAACAACTAAAACACAGAGAAGAGAGGAAAACTAATTGGAGATGGCTGCAACACAGGTTTCAAAAACACCAAAGAAGAACATCTGTGCTGGGGGCCAGGGGTCGCGGGGTTAGTGGATGCAGGAATCCTGATGTTCATCTGCTCCTGTTGATAGCAGCATCACTATTAACTATAACATCTATCAGCATAAAGTTCACCATGTCCAGCCTGGGAAGATGAACCAATCAACAGGAGAGGAAGTGCATTTCTGACAGTAACTATATGTGACATCACAAAGATTTTCACATTCAGAATTTAGAAAAAAACTGTGCAACATCAGAAATATATACAATATAAACATGAATATAATGATATTTACAATGATATATATATATACATATATATGGACACACATACACACATGGATATACACATATAACCACTTTATAATTAGTGTATGTGAGAGCTCAGGGTGTTAGTTGGGAAGAAGCTGTTTTTGAGTCTGTCTGTTTTTGTTTTGATGCACCTGTAGCGCCTCCCAGAGGGCAGCAGGTCGATCAGGTTGAAGCAAGGGTGGGTTCTGTCCTTAGTGTTGACTTTGGCTCTGCTGAGGCAGCGGGAGATGTAAATGTCCACTAGAGGGGAGAGTACAGCCAATGACCCTCTGCTGCCTCACCTGTCTGTAACAGTCCAGCTGCTGTACTATATGTGACGCAGTGTGTCAGCAGGCTCTGCTTGGATGAGGGTCAGTGTTGAGCTTCCTGAAGTCCATGATGACCTCCTTGGTTTTCTTGGTGTTCAGAGTGAGGATGGCTTCAGAACTTCCTCATCACCCTGTGAGATCAGTCTGACCACTGTGACATTGTCAGCAAACTTGACAATGTGGTTGCTGTTGTGGCCAGACTGTAGAGACAATACAGGAGGGGGCTCAGCACACAGCCCTGTGGGGAGGTGATGCTCAGTGTGCGGGTGGAGGAGAGTCTGGGGTCGGTTGGTGAGAAAGTCCTTTATCGAGGCCCATGTGAGAGGAGTCAACATCAACAGACAACAAATCTGCTGGCAACAAACACACAGCTAAAGAAAACCATGTGGCAAGTCAGACCTCAGAACACTGAAAAAATACCATACAAAATATATAAAACACACATTATTCATTCTGAACACGAACAAAAAGCATATATTTGTCTGATTTTAATAAATACAAATATATTAATATTCTATGACTGTTGCACAGTCAGAGTAGTAAAACTGCACAAACATGTGAGTTTATGTAAACTTCATGGCCATCTGTGAGGATGCTGCCTTAGAACTGCAGGCTGGACAGGTTCTGTTTCTGGTTCAGGTGTGTGGGCCTTCACAGCTGCTTTGATTGCAGGTAGAAATTTAGCCCAAAACGACACTGATCCAGGCTGGGACAGCTGTTGCCTCCAAGTGCTGCTTTTAAAAAGCGGTATTTTTGTAGCTCTCCGAGCCGAGTCGTAGAGGGAGCTCTCTGCTGTAACAGAGATCTGTGGCCATGAGGCTCTAGGTGGGCTCAGAATAAGAGACAAGCGGGCGGCTGGTGCGTTAGCAATCGAGGCAGACAGAGATCGTCACACATGGGCAGAGACAACCAGGGGTCCAAGTCTGGATGCAGGAAGATTTCAGGAAACGCCAAGTTGTGCAATCGATCGGAGTAACAGTGGGAGGATTCTCCAGCAGCGAGAGCGTCGCCATTCTGTGCTCCGCTCGGATCTCGCCGTGACCGTGAGCGGATGCTGTGGTCTGGGAGGCGCGCTAAACTGGGCGTAACTTCAACATTGCTCCATTTTAAAATGACATGTTCGATCACATTAAAGTGTTTTGGCTCACTGGGAGTTCTTGCATATTTTAAAACTCGGAAGGGCGAGGAGGGCCTTCACTCTGAGCTAACACAACAAGCTAATAGCAGCTAAAGACACCGAAGTTAGCGTCTGATTCGGCCCTTTCCTCGCTTTTATGAACTGGCCCAACTAGTGACTAAACCTGAACGGATTTACTCTGAACCAACTAACAGTTTCTTCCCAACACAATTTGTGATTTCTTTAAAGCTATTTGTTTAAACATACACACAAAGCGTGGGTGTGATGTTTATTTGGCATGTACACAAGGGGTCCTAGACTGAATAATTCTACAATTATCAAGAAAAACTAAAATCCAATTTGTGATGGGTCAAACCTTTGTCCACCTTATCAATGCTCACCCTTACTAGAAATATATGCTCATAATATAAATTAAATACATAACATATGTCATATAAATGACCTTGTTACAAAAATAGAATAATAACGTCAAAAACCTCTGAGTTTGATTTAATGTGTTTAATCTGTAACTGCTTTACAATTACTAAGCCAGTGTCTGGTCATCCTAAGTATTTTAAATCGTAAAATAGAAGTGATCAAAAAATAACATAGCCCTTTTGCAGCAGTGGCAAATCCGTAGCTTCAATTAGGACACTAGCTTCAACGTCGTTGGAGATCTGTACAGCTGCCGAGACAAAGAGGCTAGAAAATGGACGCCCTGGCCTGAACTCTCCAATGAACTCGACAAATTATCCGCTTTCTCGTGCTGAAAAAATACAACTACACATAGTATAGATTTGATCGTTTGTACAATTATAACATCCATGGGCGTTTTACCATATTTCGCCAGATCTTTTAAAAACGATAGAGGGAGACAAACACCATTCCACGAGTTGCCAGGATCCAGAGCCCCATCGTGACACCTAGAGGCCGGTTAAAGATCCTGCAAACTCCCCCCCTTGTCTGAAAAGTAGTGGTACTCTACCTGTTTCTGAGTGTTTCTCCTCCCTGTGGTCCCGCCTGGAAGCAGAGAGGCAGCGCTAAAAAGTTTAACCAGGTCGGAATAAACTACACGCTTCTTCGCAGTTAGTTTTAATTCCTCACCCGCTTTGGCAGAGTAGCTTCTGCCACAAAATGGCAGTTGAGCGCTCAGTGCGCCTGTGCGGCCGCTGGGGGGTGGTGTCGGAACTGATGCAGCACCCTGATTGGCCAGGAGGGGCGCAACGTTAACACACATTGAAGCTCATTTCCCAATGTGAGGAGAATGAAGGCTTTTTTCCTGAGAGAAGTTATTCTCTCAGAAAAAAAATCCAGTTTTTAGCCACAAATAGGCATAGAATATACATTTTAAGAGACAATGTAAGAAAAAAATAATACAATAAATATCACTTTACAGCTTTGGATTGATTTGACTATATTACTACATATTTGTTACCATCTCTGTCATTACCCTTATTTTTAAAGTAGCAATTCAAAGGTTAGACTTCCTTATTGAAATAAGAAAGTGGACAGACTTTTGATTGCAGTTGCACCCAAATGTCTGAACTTAGATTGACATATAATCCATCAAATCCGAATGTCTCAAAAAGTTAGAATATTAGCAACTGTGTTTTAGGAACTTAATTCAAGGAATATACCTCAAATAGATTTATTCCTCACAGAGTGTTAAGATCATATTTCAGCTTATTTGATTGATTCCAGAAAAGAAAAGACTTCCTCACTCCCAGTCCAAAAACATGACTGTTAGGTCAACTGATGCTCTCTCTAAATCATGGGATTTTAAACCCAGGCCTTCAGGTTTGGCAACTTTTAGATGTTTCCCTGGTTGAACATATTTGAATCAAATGGCTGAATTACCTCCTGAGTATACAGGCAAGTTCTTCAAAGTCCTTTAATGACCTCATTATTTGACTCAGATGTGTTGAAACAGAGACACATTTGACAGCTGCAGGACACCGGCCCTTGACACCTGGAGCTGGTATGAGTGTGTGTACATGGTTTATGGACTGGCGACCTATCCAGGATATATGCTGCTCCTACATGGGCTTTTCATTTACTTTTTGTAAATGAACACCCCAAAGTCTGGTTAGAATATCACTTAAGAGCAATAGAAAATATTTCTAATGTAGAAATGTGGCCCTACTAAAACATACAGACATGAGAACCAAGTACTTTTATTATTTTAATAGTAGCCTTCAGGTCACTTGCATTGTTAGTTCCTCTTCCTCTTGACAACAGTCCATGGTTTAGGCCAGTGTTTTTCAACCTCTTTTGAGCCAAGGTACACTTTTTTAATTG